GATACATAAATCCTGTAGCGCAGTTTAGATAACGAAATGCGGGGAGCTAAGAGCAATATCTAATCGTTTTTTGAAAATGTCCAAGGTAGGAGAGGATACAACAGAGACTGGGAGTGCGTTCCAGGGCTGGCAAATCCGAAGGGAAAAGTAATTCCGTCTACCCTCTAGACGGCTATATTGTTCCTTCAATTTTAGGCAGCTACCCCTGAGCTACATGTTGTGGCTAAGTTTCAGTAAATGGCGACATACCTGGTTGGGGTCACCCAATATTTGGTAAGGTAATAGGAGTTCGTCGCGCAGCCTTCTGTAGCGTCTGCTGAAAATTGCCAGCAACTTCAGCCTTCAGTGATAAGTGTTAATGCAGGCCTTTTACATTCTTTGTTGTTCAATGGAAAACGGCAATAACCTCCGAAAATCAAATTGCGGCACTGTAAACTCAGTCTACTTGCCTAAATTGCGTTTCAGCCACCGAATCGCAGAAGTATCGGCAAACTGATGCAAACGGGCATTGATCTGTCGGCTAATTACTGAACAATTCACGAGGACTTTGGCACTTAGCGCAGCTTTGTATATACTGCGCACTAGAGCTGTCTTGTAATTAGAGACCGTTAGTGACCATGTTGTGAGGATTGTGTTTTGAAATACTTGTGAACAGCCTCCAGTTAGTTCCACCAAGCACAGTCGAAGATGTAAATATATGTGGCGGTAACTTGAGGGTTGTCTTATCCAACTTGGAGTAACACAACAACCTTCTAACCTGGTGTAGTCACACCAGTTCCGCCGTGTAATATCACCTCGTTCCGATCTGGCAGGGGGCAATGCCGAGTTCCAACATCACGATCCCCTTAGATGGTAGCTTGATGATCATCCTTTCTTGGGGACGTTTGTCAAACTTTTCGCTCGGCCGTGCGTCAGGGCACTGCATCTTGTGAAGTATCGAATTTCATGCAATATTACTGACACGCGTTTCAACTCACTGTCGACCTGTGATAAACGTACATACAATACGCAAGGATTGATTACTGGTATTCTTGTTTACCAATTGACTTAGAATATATAGCCGTGAAATTCAAATTTCAGCACGGATGTACTTGCCACACGTCGAAAAAAGGTTTGTTGTAGCCCAATTCTATTTCGGTTCTGAACCTACTGTGGCGCGAACGAGTGTTAGGGTCACGCAGTCTTTGTTGTTAACGCAGAAGAGGTTCATAGGCTAGCAAGCACGCGTGCACGAATAATGGACATTTCCCGACCACCATGCACCACACATTGTCCTTCCACTTGGTGTCATCTTCATGCCCAGACTTCAGCTGGTCAGTGAACTTGCTGCTCGCCGATAGACTATCGTATCTTCGCTTCCACAAGTCCTATTCTCACGGGGCTGGATTCGCTCTAATGCTCTTGGCTTGTTCAACCGGGGCTGCGTCGCTGTCCTCGTGGTCATTCTTGGATCCACGACCAAAGGCGTATCTTTCCGGAAGTTCGGGCTGTCCACCAATTCGTCCCCCTTCTTCTCTGCCTGGGCCTGAGATCGTTTGTCATTCGTTGTCCATTTTCGTCTTGTCCCGTAGGCCTCGAGCTGCTATGTCGAATTTCGTCCCCGGTGTCTCCGTTCCTTTAGATCTTCCTTTTTTTCAAGGCTTGTCCGTTCCGTCCGGGATTCTTGCTTTGTTGTCTACTGCACCCTCCGCTTCGCTAAGAACTGATTTCCTCGTTTTCCATGGTCGTAAGGAGCTGTAATCACCCAGCGTTTCGACATCCCATCCTTAGTGCAATAGTTTAGCCCTTCCCTGTCGATTAAGGTATATGGACATTTCAACGGTGATTGAACGTACCCGCAGCTTGTCCTCTATAGGCCGGTGGAGCATTACTGTGCAGTCTTACTTTGTCTTCTAGGTTGAATTCTTCCCATTTGTGTGTCGAATATCGTGCGTCATAGTTCCGTTTATTCCGTAATTTTCGTGCTTTTGTCCTATTTCTGGCGGTTGTTTTTAGTCCCCCGTGCCGCGATGCTGGATGATCGCACCTGTGAGCCATTGGCAAACACGCGTCAAGTGCAATTCTCGGCTTTCTCCCAAATTTCAATTCGAAGGGCGGAACCACAATGTCTGACTGCATGCTGATTCCATAAGCGAGTAGCACTTCTGGCAATGCCTCTTCCCATGCCGAGTTTGTACAATTCATTCATGTCTTCATGGTTCGGTTAAACCATTCTGTCGTCCTATTGGTTTGAGGATGATATAATGAAGTAGGCCGTCTTTGGATGCCCCATTTTCTTACTACTGCTTGCAACACTTTTGACTCAAAGCACGGATCGTCGTCAGTGACAACGTACTGCGGAATTCCATACCGCGCCGGTACCTTGCATTCGAATGTTTGTGCCACGGTCTCCACTGTCTGGCCCTTAATAGGTATGGCTTCTACCCATCAGGTGAAATGATCCATTATCACAAAGATGTGAGTGTTAACTTGTCGGCTCAGCGGCAACGGTTCAAATACATTCAGCCCCAATCACAATAGTGCCCAGTTAACTTTAAGTGATTGCATTATCGGTCTGGGCGCATCCGCATCCCGGCTAGTTTGACACTTTGGACACCCCTGAATATATGCCGCTACGTCCCTCGTCATGCTTGGCCAAAATACGCGTCTCCGCAACATGTTAAATACTGTCAAACATCCTTTGTGTTCATTAGTATGAACCATTTGAATTACCCGTTTCCATTGATCTGATGGGATAAAGAGCACTCTCCTTCCGTTTGTTGCCAACAGCAAATTACAATGTACTGTGTACAGCCGGTCCCACATCATAACGAGTTCCTTCACCTCATCCCATTTTGTATCCGGCTTGGTGCACAGTGATTCCACTAGTTGGTCCTTCCTTTGTATTTCGAGTAGGTTACTTTCTTCTGCTGTGACCGCACACACCGGTATCGCCGTCTGATATGATGTCGTTCAACGACGGCCGCGACAACATGTCAGGTAGTCCGTTCTGCTTCCCGTCTAGGTGCCTGATGGTGACGGTAAATTCTTGGAGTCTATATGCCCATGGTGTAAGACGTCCTCGTGGATCTTTCCTTGTCGTCAACCATGACTGGTTTGTGAACTGTCATAACGTGGAAGCCATTCGCCAAGAGGTAGGTTCTCCAGTTATCTAAAGCCCAAACGATAGCAAAGCATTCCTTCACCGTCGTGCAGTATTTCTGCTCAGCACGCGTCAGCACTCTACTGGTGTATTCTACTACACTCGATGGTTAGGACAACACTGCACCGAGTGCGATGTTACTAGCATAGACTACCACTGTAACTTTCTCATCTGGACTGGGTAACCGTTAGCACTTTGCGGATTCTGCCATGCACGCCTTTATCTGGTTGAAAGCCTCCTCTGCTTCGGTTGTCCACGCAAACGGTTGGTCTTTGTGTAGCAGCTTCAATAATGGGTTGATGCTTTCCGCAAAACGAGGGATGAGTTTCGAATCGTATGCCACTACTCCGAGGAAGAAACCTAGCTGACGTTTGGACTTAAGGATCAAAAAATTCTAGATCGTCTCCAGTTTCTCTGGCTGTGGCCGTATTTGACTGTTCCCCAAGATGTGACCCAAGCACACAATCGAACTCTGGGCTATTTGTGAGTTCGTGCGGCTCAGCTTCAACACTATCTCCTCCAGTCATTGTACTGCTGTCGCGAGTCTGCTACCATGCTAGTCTTCTGTCGCGGAGCATATAACGACGTCGCCTCCGTAAAGCACTACACCTTGGAGGTTTTTCAGTATCATCATTGGTCGTCTGAATGTGGCGGGGGCTTCGCAAAGTTCAAATGGTATCCTCAAACATTCATACTGCTGGCCGTTCACATGGAAAGCTGTTTTGTAATGATCCTCTACTGCTATGGGTAGCTGTCAATATCCTGACCGGAAGTCACTCAATAAGATCTACTTCACATTATGAAGATTGGAAAATTTTCATTCACCTGTGACAAGGGGAATGCATCCTTTGCCGTCACTTTCTTCAGTTCCTTGAAATCAATGCAGAACCGGTAGGTACCGTCCGCCTTTCTCGTCAGTAACACTGACGAGGAATACGGGCTGTTCGCAGGCCGGATAAGCCCTTTCGCCTCCATCTCTGCAACCTGTTTCTGGACCTCAGGTAGGATTTGTAGCGATGTTCTCCGGAATCTTGGTTTGCATCGCCCCCTTGGGAGTAACGGTATCCGGGTTCCATCCAGTTACAGAACCCGTATTCGTCATTCGAGTCAGTGAACAAATACGCATATCTATCCAACTTGCACCTAGTTTCACGAGTTGGGCAATCAGGTAGAATATTTACAGTACATATTTGGCTGGTTCTTCCTGACTTAAGGCTAATTTTGTCGTTACTCAGCATTATCACTTTCTTTCCCAGATCTATTCTAGTGCCTAGTCGCTTGAGGATATCGTTGCCGAGTATCGTTTCTGTCGTCTCATCTAGAAGGAATATCGGATGGCTGTTGCATGTCTCTCCTATTCTCAATTGCAAGCGTTGTACACCCGTTGCGTATAACTGCGGGCCCCGACTGTTTGCATCGAGACCGACGATTAATCTAATGGAACCCCATCAAATGTTTCGTAATTGTCGATTCTGCCCTACTACCACACGAACTGGCACGCCTTGTATAGTAACCACTAGAACTGCTACTCTCTACTTACCGGGTGTGAATAAGGAAAACAGTGTGGAACTCTTTATTCAAACAGTATCCGGCCAGATGTTCTACGTGGTTGCATCGAGAACAGCAGCGGCCACATTGGGAGTCCCATCTGTTACCTTGTACATCCATCCTTGACATTAGCTTATGCACCATCTCTGTCAATTGGTCCAAATTGCAGTCCATTTCCGACGGATGGATTCTTCCCACGGCCGCTGGCTCCAAATGACTCTGAACCACCGTCACAAGTTCCTCTGCTTTGGTCACTCCAACCATTGGAGCCAGCTTTACTTTGTTCTGGAGTAGTTTGGGTAGGCTCTGGATGAATTGTCCATTAAGGAGTCGTTCTTTCGCGGCCAAGTCTAACACAGGTACCCCGACTGCCAAGTTTCTATCCAACTTCTGTTCATCATCATCATCATCATACACGTTCGCTAGAGCTACTGTGCCGACTTCTGGTATAGTACCAGCAAGTCTTCCTGTTCCTCCATTTTGCTGGGGGAAACTTTTCTACTATCTGCTGTCGATCAATTTCCTTGCCGAACCCCGCTTGCATTGTCGCCTTCTCACCGCTGAAAGAGCACCCGCTTTGGACCTCCGTGTTAACACATACGCTGCTCTCGCTCTGCTCCTTAACAACGTGCCCAACGCCTTTGGTACGTTGGCAACCCCCTTGAATCCGTTAAAGGCCGCAATTCCTTCCAACTCGTCAAACCACGCCTCCTCATCTCCGTCCCCAAAGTGGGCTGGCCAGCCAACTTCATCCTCATTGGTCACAGTCCGAAAGTAACGAGAACGAGCGGTAGGGGCACGCAGTCTTTGTCGCCAAAGCAGAACAGGTCCACAGGCTAGCAAACACGCGTGCACGAATAATGGACATTTCCCGACCACCATGCACCACACATTGTCCTTTCGCTTGGTGTCATCTTCATGCCCAGAATTCAGCTAGTCAGTGAACTTGCTGCTCGCCGATAGACTATCGTATCTTCGCTTCCACAAGTCCTATTCTCACGGGGCTGGATTCGTTCTAATGCTCTTGGCTTACTCAATCGGAGCTGCATCGCTGTCCTCGTAGTCATTCTTGGATCCACGACCAAAGGCGTATCTTTCCGGAAGTTCGGGCTGTCCACCAATTCGTCCCCCTTCTTCTCTGCCTGGGCCTGAGATATTTTGTCATTCGCTGTCCATTTCCGTCTTGTCCCGTAGGCCTCGAGCTGCTTTGTCGACTTTCGTCCCCGGTGTCCTCGTTCCTTTATATCTTCCTTCCTTTTCGAGGCTTGTCCTTTCCGTCTCTCATTCTTGCTTTTCGGTCCACTTCACTACTTATATTTTTGTGGTTGTCAGTGCGTATTCCAAAAAGAACACAACCATCGAATCCTTACATGTAAACTCATCTTCCCGGTGTCCCTCGCGACAGCTTTCCAAGTGCGTTGGTTTAGGCTGCCCGTTGGGTCGCAGTGATCACGCAGTGATCAGTTTCAAATTCGTCTGCTATGCAGAATATCTGAATGATAACGATGAGACTGTGCGAACCATCACAAGGTACGACCGACTCGCCCAGCTGGTCAGCGCCACAACTTGGTCGTTCCTCGAAGAAGAACCCCCGGAAGTCGCCTCGCTCGAGTTCGTCAACACATTCAGTTAGCTGATTGCACAGGCTTTAGAGGTAAAAGCTTGCAATAAGTGTAAATCAGTTTCTTTCGTTAGGAGCAGAACCCGAAAATGGATGACAGTACGCAACGCAGCATGGCGAGTTTACAGAGAAGCTCCAGCACCAGAAACTTGGGACAACTACGTAGCCCAACGTAACCACTGCACTCAACTGTTAAGAGAAGACAAAGCCGCCTATCAGCAGAACATCGCAAAAACCTTCAGTGCTAATCACAAACTGCTGTACAAGCACGTTAATAGCCTACGAAAGGTGAGGCAAGGATTTCCTCCACTCAAGACGGCTGATGGCCCAACAGGAACGTCTATGGAAGCTGCATTCGCGCTGCAGATGCAATACGCCCGCACGTTTCAAACGGTCTTGCCACCAAGCGATCTACCGAGCTTTGTATTCTGCTCGCCAGGACTAACCCACATCACTTTTACCGCAGAGGCTGTATTGCGAAAGCTGACTTCTCTACGCAAACACAGCTCGCCGGGTGTCGACGCCATTCATCCTGAGCCAATAGAAGCAGCAGCAAACCAACTGGCAGGACATTTAGCTCAGTTTTTCCAGCACTGCTTAGACCACAACCAAGTTCCCGCCATGTGGAAGCTTGGAATAATGAGTCCGATTCACAAAGGTGGAAGCAGAACTGATCCTTCCAACTACCGCCCAGTAACCCTTCTTCCTATGCTCTCCAAGGTAATGGAATCTATAGTTGCCGATGCACTGGTGTGCTATCTGGAAAACTGCAACCTCATCACTCCTGAACAGCACGGTTTCCGTCGACAGCGGTCATGTACAACGAATTTACTAATTGCACGCAGTAGTTGGACCGAGGCAGCCGACGCTGGAGAAGGTGTTGATGTGATCTACCTGGATTTTTCCAAGGCTTTCGATCGCCTAGACCATCGGATACTACTATCCAAGCTGCAACATTATGGGATCGGCGACCCTCTTTTAAGCTGGATCGCCAACTTGCTATTTCAAAGGCAATTAGTGGTCAGAGTTCGGAGCTCTTTATTGGACCCCATACAAGTCGAGTGTGGTGTGCCGCAAGGCTCGGTTCTAGGTCCACGTTTGTTTTTGGTGTTTATTAATGACTTTGCACAGGGAATCGCTTCAAACTTCCTAATGTTTGCCGACGATATCAAGATCTGGCGCAGGATCCAGGCGAACACCGACCAACATGTGCTCCAAAGTGACTTAGATACAGTGTATCAATGGTCGATCCAAAACTTATTGCATTTCAACGTCAGTAAATGCAAGGTGGTTTCCATCCGACATCAAAGCAGCTACTCATACAGACTCGGAACGGATGTACTGCAACAATCAACTCTCGAACGTGACTTGGGTGTCCTGGTTCAAGATGACTTAGGTTGCTCCAGGCAATCCGAAAAGGCCTCGAAGACCGGGAACCAACACGTCGGGCTGTTGAGGCGGGTGTTTGGACAAATAAACAGCTCCATATTTCGACAAATGCTCAGTGCGTATGTTCGCCCCCATGTCGAATACGCAATTCAAGCCTGGCATCCATGGCTGAAACACGACCTTAATGCACTGGAGCAGCCACAACGCCGGGCATCTAAGAACGTAATTAGAATGAGCAATCGGTCCTACCAGGAGAGGCTGCGACGACTAGGATTGTTCAGTGGAAGCTATCGCAGGCTACGATGCGACCTGATTATGACATACTTGATTTTGCGAGACCCACATCATGTGGGCCGCCCTTTACTGCAACTCAGCAGCAATACAAACCTGAGGGGCCACTCATTAAAACTCGCAGAACAATACAGTCGTCTGGAGTGCCGCAGAAGTTTATTTTCCATCCGTGTCTGTCACCCGTGGAATGCTCTACCACAATCGGTCGTCTCTGCACCGACACTAACAATATTTAAAAGACGGTTGGACGATGCACTCATCCACTTACACTTTGTTACTTAACACTATGTCTCCATCCTACACCTGGAGTTTACCCTGGAATTATTTGTTGTTAACTGTGGGTGTTGTGAATCTAAGTGGATCGAAGGACTGCAGCGAAGCAAACGATAAGTCCTTATTTTCGCTTTGGTGCCGCCTATGGTTGCGAAACAAGGACACATGCCTACTAGCCGTGATTTATCGCCCACCAAACTCAACGTCGAAAATGGATTTCAAACTGAGCCACGTTTTTCAGTTTGCTTTGAACAAATCTTACACCCACATTCTTATCACTGGGGCCGTTAAAGTGCACGACACGGAAACGCCGGAAACCGACGGTATGCAATTTAAAGCCTGTTTGCAAGAGCTAATTGCTAGCCACCGTTTGTACAGTCACGTAACCTCTCCCACCAGATTTCGAACTGCTAATAAGCCGTCGATACTGGATCTTGTGCTAACTAACGAAGAACTCATGGTTGATAGGATAGTTACAAGCGCACCACAGGGTCATAGTGATCATGGTACTCTACTCTTTGACTATATATGCTATGCGGAGTACCCTGAAAAGGAGGATGATTAAGTGCATATTGTCACTCACTGCAATGTATCATCTAAGCTTGTTAAGTATACATTTGTACTTTCTTAACCGATCGCCCCCCAGATGTTGCCTGGGAAACATTTACAAGGACGTTTAGTACACTGGTAGCGCACGCATCGGAACAGAAGTCCCTCCAACCCAAAAACAAGCGTAAGTCATTTCTGAGGAGCAGAACACGTAAATGTATGTCCCGGAGGGATTTGGCATGGCGAAATCACAAGGGTTGCCCGAAGGCCGAAACCTGGACTGCATACGTGACACATCGTAACTTCGGTGTGAAAGTGATCTGCGAAGACAAGGTCACGCCTCAGCAGAAGTTAATGAAGCGATTCTGCACTAACCGCAAACTCTTGTACAGGCAGGTTAACGGCCTTCCAAAGGTAAAGCGAAGGGTTCCAGCACTAGTCACGGCTGACGGGTGCACGCGGTCAGCAATGGAAGCAGCTGATCTCCTACGGCTTCATTACTCCCAAACGTTCCAACAAGTGTCGAGCCCAAACATTCACCTCATTTCTAATACTCCACCATCTGGTTTAGAAAACATCACCTTCACTACGGAGGCTGTGTTGAAGAAGTTGTTATGCTTGCGTATCCACAGTTCTCCCGGAGTTGATAACATCCGACCAAAGGCTCTACAGGCAGTAGCTAGCGATCTAGCAGAGTCACTGGCTGTTTTCTATCAGCGATGTCTAGAGGAAAACCTTATTCCACCAGTATGGAAGCGAGGGGTCATCACTCCTATCCATAAAGGAGGTAGCCGCACTGATCCTGCAAACTACCGTCCAATAACACTACTTGGCTGTACCCACGGACGCCGCGGAATTTTCTGCTACCACGCGCTGGATCCTGCTTTTTCTCTGGAATTACTGTATTTTACGTGTGTTGCTGTGTTAGTTGTGCACCAAACTTTTTAGTTTCGTGTGTTCATCAATCCGTGAAAGTTTCGTGGAATTCCGCTTGATATCTTCGGAGATCTCAGTGATTTACTGCTGTGCCCGTCATTTTGGAATTTGTGATCGACATCTTGCTTGTCTTCGTGCTTGAAAAAATACAACAACTATGCCGAATAGCATGCAACGACGTATCTGCTCTTCAGCTAATTGCGGCAAAGCCCTTAAAATGGGTATAACGTGCCGAAACTGCAGTGGCTCGTTCCACCCGAGCTGTATAGGAAAGTCCGCCCAAGAAGCAAGGCAAATAAACAAGGCAACTGACGCATTTTGGTTTTGTCCAACTTGCCAGTTAACTCCAGTGGTCGGTTGTTTATGTGCACTCATGGAAAGGTGCGATACTTTGAATGCGACAATCGCTTATTTGTTGAACGCCAGGCTTGCACCACCGGCCGCGAATATGGCCATGATTGTACCACAGTCGGTCAAAGAAAGCTCCACCTCGAGGCCGAAAAAAAGGGCTAGACGCTCAGATCGCGCTGCAGCCTCAGTTTCTCCAAATCCCTTGCCTCACTCAACTCCCAAAAGCGGACGAACATCCAGAGTACTGATGTCCACACCTTTGAGTCCCACGCCCCACCTCCATTCAACAACAACCGCGGAAGCTCCGGGGCAAATCTCTTCCGCCGTAGAGAAAAGTCCGGCGTCATACGCCTCAGTCGCCTCAATGC